TTGAAAGAAGTTCTACTGTGGTTAATACGCTATCAAATAGCCTCACCTGCTACAGAGAAATCACTTGTGAGAGGAACAGTCAGTCAATGTGGCCAACTTCACTGTTGCCTTATTTTAAGAAATTGGCACAGCCACCCCAGCCTTCAGCAGCCACCACCCTGGTCAGTCAGCAGCCATCAACACTGAGGCAAGACCCTCCACCAGCAAAAAGATTATGACTCGCTGAGGGCTCAGATGAAGCTTAGCATTTTTTAGCAATAAAGTATTTTCTCATTAAGGTATGTATAATACATAATGCTTTTAGACATAATGCTATTACACACTTAATAAACGAGAGTATAGTGAAAACATAACTTTCATATGCACTGGGAAACCAAAAAATGTGTGCGACTTGCGTTATTGCAATGCTCACTTTATTGTGGTGGTCTAGAACCGAACGAACCTGCAGTATCTCCAAGGTATGCCTGATCTGATAAAGGTGGGGAAATACCTGCTTTAACATATCTTAGCCCGAGTAAAGATTTTTTTAAAAAATGTTTTTATTAATTTTTAGAGAGAGAGGAAGGAAGAGAGAGATAGAAACATCAATGAGAGAGAAACATCAACATCGATCCGCTGCCTCCGGCACCTCCCCAGCTGGGGATAGAACCCGAAACCCACAACCCCGGGCATGCGCCCTGACCAGAAATTAGAGATTTCTTGATTCGTGGGTCGATGCTCAATCACTGATCCACACCAGTGGGCAAGATTTTAATTTTGAAGTTTGCTAAAGGTCAGAGGCATGAAATATAAAAGGCATATTTTACATTAATTAAGATTCTTTGGGGGAAGATTTCCCTCTTTGATATTTATGGTTCTCTTTTCTTCTGTTACTAAGAGAGAGAGAAACCTGGAGATGAAACTAGCATTTTAAAATAATTCCTAATAGATTTATTCTATCAAGTGCTTTAAGCCAGTGGAGAACTGGAATCTTAGTGTGATGGAGTAAAATGTACTATATTATAGGTAATTATGCAGATTTAGAGTTTTATTAAACACAGAGCGTAAGGATCTAAAATATGCCATGAAGGAATGGATCCATGTTCCAGCCAGCCTGGTATTTCATCTCTAATAGAAGAACCTAAAAATGTTTAGCAGAGTCTGGTTCCGTCTTGTATCACTAGTGAAAGATGAGAGGTGTTTCACCCCCATCCTAGATTGCTTGACCATAATGTATCTATTATTCATTTATTTAAATTTTAAAAACTTGTAAATAACTTAGAATTGACTTAACCCCTAATATCATTATAAAAATTTCATTTTTTACTACCCGATATGGTAATTAGTATTTTATTTGTCCAAATTTACAATAATTTTCAAGCTCTTGCATGTATTTTGCAGTTCTTATTCTACAGTTTTATGAATAATCTTGTTCATAAAAATATTCAACTTATTTTTACCTTCATGATTTGACAAGTTTTTATTATTTCCTCTTTATCATTTTTTAATGGAACCTCGATTTTATTAGTCTTGTCTAAATGATACGGTTTACTTAAGAGGCATACATTGTGTTCTCTAGCATCTGTGTGATAAAAACATTTCACTATAACAAAGTACCTTTTTTCAAACCTTAACAAGCTTATTTTGGCCCCTCATTATTCCTGAAAAATAGGTAAGACAATTATGTACTTATTTATTCTATGGCAGACAGGAATTCCTTTACTATTTTTTTAAACTCTCCTATCAAGTTCAGTGCTATTAAAGTTTGAAATCATTCTTTCTTTCTTTTTGGGGGGGCTTTATTTTATATATATAT